ACTTTCCTACTTGTAGAGGCCATGGTTATGGCGCGACTGAGAGAAGAAAGTGTTATGACATCATAGATTTCTGTATCATTCGTAAGTTTGTTTTCCTAGGTTGCATTTGGTTCCAAGAAAAAAGGACCCTTTTGTTTGACTACTTCATTGTGTCAGCAGAGTGTACAGCAACCCACTCAAGGAAAACCTTCGTCTGGGGTTTCAGTGAGTGACTCATATAGACAAGCAAAGACCATAGAGTCGAAAGATATATAGTTTTATACATTTTCCTTACTTAGAATTTGAAAAACTTCAATGCAATCTAGGCACAATGAGACCAAAGTACGAACTATTACACTAACGATATAAAATAAAAATACCGTGCTAAAAATTCGTCCAAAATAAATAACTCATATACCAATTGAAAGATGAAACCTTAATCTATGTACTCCTGAAAAGAAAATTGGAATATCTTTCCTCGTTTTGTCAGCAACGTCCTTCAAAGCTAACACTGCGCAGGTCGGTACACTGCACCGATGTCGGTGGCATACGATTATTTAAAGGGTCGGTGCAGCACACGGATGTCGGTGCGGAAGGGTTAACATAAGGAACACCCTCCCGAAGTTTGGCACATTCCTCTTGGGACACCCTGTATAAACAAATATCAGCTTACAATTGACACTGTATACAATATAGTGCACAATTTGTAATTTGTATGTTCATATAAATTAATATGTAAATATAAATACATTTCATCTATTCTAGTTCATATGTCACTCCAAGGTCATCATTGGCTGGCCAAAGCCGGAAATTTTCCTCATTGGAAGATCAACCAACTTGAAGTTGTGCCTGGACATCATCATGCTAATACATTCAAAGACTGTAGCAAGTCACATCCCAGAAGGTGATGATATTTGCAGCCACCCATGCAGGAGCTTGATATCTCACATGTATTTTTGATAGCATGCCAGTGATATTTTAGTCTCATACCCAGCAGATGTTTTGCTTGAATCTCAGACAGGTCATCAGCTATCCTGACTGAGGCTCTTGTGGTTTTCCTCAGTTCAAGGCAAATTCCAGGATACTATGTTAATTTAGATCATGACAACTTCCTTCTAGATCCTTTCCAATTTGACACTGGCAAAGTAATAAAATAACCTCCCAACAACAAAGAACTTTTTTTATTTCTTGGGGTGGGATGTTGGCCACTAACTGGCCTAATGTACCAGCCCTGGATGACTGATGCATGTGCAGCAGTTGGTGGAATGAGAATTGACATGGAAAACCGAAGTACTCCGAGAAAACCTGTCCTACTGCCACATACATTACCTGACATGGGATTGAACCAGAGCTGCCATGGTGGGAACCCAGCAACTAGCTGCCTGAGCTACAGCATGGCCCTAACAAACAAACAGGCACCTGCTCATGCTGGTTCCTTGCTCGCAGATTTTTCTACCCTGAAGATGGAGGCAATACCTCCAAAATGTCGGTTCACACAAGATCTACATGGCGCCACATCCCAGAAGACTGCATTCTTCATAGTCACTGCTGTGAAAACCTCAAATCTTACAAACTAACTACATGAGGCTGAGTCCTTGAGAAGCTGCCAGTCACTCACCTACTCAAGAAATTCCCAACATCTAATGGAACATGAACATTCATTACAATATTCAGACTGCTCCCTATCCTGAGCCAGATAAATCCAGTTCATGGAGATAGCCTCCAGATATGTAGGGTAGCTGCTAATATATTGAATATGCAGTCATGTACAGTCGACAAGGGGTGGTCAACAAGCTTGGGGGATCGGCGTGGGGCTAATATCTCCTCACCCACAAAAATAATTTTGTTACAAAATGTTGCACAGTCCTCCTTCCATACACACACATACAGATATTTCTGTCTTCGTAATATCAATTTTATAAGATGAGAAAGCAGGAGCATTAATGTAACAAAATGTTGGACTCAAAGTGAAAAGTAATTGTGGTTGTTTGCTAACCTGTCTGGCTCCAGTTCTGTTAAGCAAGAGTTTTCTGCTGCAGCTTCTGTAATCACTAAACAAGATTTTCCTTCTGAATAATAACTTGCCTTGTTAGTTACATGCAATATTATCTGTAATCATCAAAATAATTTATATTTTTAGGTTGACTGGATTTCACACTGCAACAGACTGGCTTCTGTTTGGGGCAGTGCAGTTAGCCTGCTATCTCCTGGCACAGCAACAAACTATTGCCCTTTTGTTGGTTGTTAGAAGTTCCTTCACAGCAGCAATTATCAGCATTTACATGACTATCATATACCTCATGCTAGGAAGTGGCACTGTAAGGTAAAAAGCACTATACTATTATTTGTAACCAATTAAGACTCTATTCTGATACATTTTACAGTTCCATCAAGTAATTTATAATTTTGAATAGCTAATCAGATATTATCATGGCATCTTAAAGAACGTGAAAACTTGAGTTTCATGGAGAGAAAAGAGGATAGTTTTGAAAATGTATAGATAACAAATTTCAATTGAATGTCATAGTACATAGTAAATAATATCCATATTTTGAAGACAGCTGTGGTCTGGTAAAAGTTTACTGAAGTTTTGAAGGGACGTACCACCTCCCACGGGCACACCCAGGATTTCCTTCTGGAGTGACACTGAGAAAATCTGTTTACAAATTTGCACTGAAATTGTTTGTCATGACTTTGGGGTGTGTGACTACAGATGGAGTTTGGATTGGTGAATGGATTTATTGACCACTTTTATACACCACCAGGAACTACATGTTATAGATCACTGACACACACACAGGCTAGTGTTCTCAGTCTATTTCAGTCTTCACTAGCCATTTCCTGACAACAGCTTCTACCGAGGGAGAGCCTTCAGCTTCCCGCACTCAGGTCCTCTTGTCATAGCTGCCCGGCAGAACTCTTTTGTCAAAAGACAACTCAACTAACTGGGCCCCAGGTTGGCGGTCATTTCACACCAACCTCCCAGTCTTCTCTTCACAGGCTAACTGACAACTGAACTCTTTCACTCACCAACCAGCTACTTCACATCACTTCACTCAACTGAACTGCTGACAACTCTTTACTATGGAACTTGAGTGACCAATCTTATAACATTTTTGCACGAACCACATAGAAAACACCGTTGTCATTGTTATAGTCCAACAATACCTTGACCATTGCATGCATATCCGTTGCTGCAGGAACGCATTTACCAACTGCTGCTTAGAAACAGGTGTTTGTTTTTCCATCTGTTGCACAGCAATGGCTGCACTCATCCATTTCAAGGTCTCTGCCCAGCAGCAGGTCTATACGCTGTACTATTTTTACTGATTGCCTTGAGTGATAGGGATAGAATAAATTTTCTTAAAACTATTTTAAAATTATATTATTAATATTTTATATATTTACTCCTTTCTTGGTTTTTCTTTTTTTTTAATTGTGGGGTTAGTAAAAGCCTGGTTTGTTGCCTTGTTGGGACCTGTGCTGCCTCCATTTTCAGGGTCAAAGAGTGGGCCAAGAAAGCAGCACCCTGAAGACTGAGGCAACATGTTGCTACAAAATGTCCGTATACAAGGGGGTACCCAAAAGAAACCGAACTTATTTTTTTTTAAACTTATTTATTCATATTTTAAGCACAAACCTTCAATCCCCTTCAAAGTACTCTCCACTTACACTAATACA